CTTCGTCGCCATAGGCTCGTGCAGCTCCGCTGCCGAGCCATTGGTTCGGTTTTTAAAGCTCTGCACGAACCAATGGCCGTGCCGTTTCACTGCGTGAATGAAAAGGCTTCAGTTCAGGAGAAAAAAGGCTTTTTTCCCATATGTGTCTTATGCAAGACGCAGTACTCGTTCCCATATCTCAGGGAACCGAGGTTACGTTAGTAACCGAGTACGTTTTCAGTAGACGTTTATTTTAAGAAAATTATGAAAATGGTCCAGATTTCAGAAGGAAAGCCCTGAACAGAAACAGTATTTTTTTTTCTGTCACATGTCCTCGCATATATCTAAATCTATCTATCTATCATATTTTCTATAAAAAACAAGGTAAAAAAAATTTACTTTATATTTTCTTTGTAAATTATCAAAAATTTATGTAAAAAAAAATGTGTCCCGCATTTTCATGTCATTACCGAAACAGTGTATGTTTTAGTCTATTGGCCGAGGCTGATTTTAACTAAACCCATAAATTTATCACCAGGAAATATTCCTGTGTTCCCCTCTCATAGCTACAAGGTGCGATTAGATAGGTCCTATCATTTTGAGGTAAATGTGTTCAAAAGTCTGAAAAATCTGTGTGTATCTTTAAGGAATGTCACTACCAAACACCTTTTTTCTGCAATGAAGCACTCTTTTTTGGGAGTTATTCCATAATATTTAGTTTTTATATGTGTACCACTGTTCAGAACTGTGCTAGCTAACCATGTGCTGATTAGCATCTTTGAGCTAGATTCAAAAGTATCTAAAATGGTCACTACCGAAACATTTGGTGGGGTTTCGGTAGTGACATCTTTGGTTGTTTTGGGTGTTGTAGAATTGTCACTACCAAAACAGTAACAACCGAAACATGTCATCATTGTTTCAGTAGTGACAAAAGGGAACACATAATCCTCATATTTGGGGGAAATAAACAAAATATTAGTACAATTATGCAATTTTCTATTTAATTTTTTGTATTTTAGTATGTTTTAATAGTGTTTTAGTTTGTGAGTTAAAATTCTGTAATGTGATGTGTTCGCTACCAAAGCATTTCTGCCACTATTGAAAATATGCAGTCACGACCGAAACATGGGATGTTTTGTCAAAAATAAAGTATACTGAATTATCAACTGAGATGTTATGATAGTTTTTGGTTCAATGTTTATTCAAACTAATGAATCCTTAACTTTGAAATCAGTATGATCAACTTTTTGCGTTTTACAAAGAAAAATTGGATTCAAAATACAACAAATCTCATAAAATACATTTGAAATATTGTTAAAAATGTAATTGTTATTGATTTACTATTAACTGTCACAGTGACTACTGTGTAGGAGTGAAGGAGCGCAGAGACGAAGGAGAGTCAAGAATAACAGTCTTTAATGATCCAAACAGGGGGTAACACAGGGCAGGCAGGAACACACACGTAGCATCGACGACACCGGACAAAGGAACGGACAACACTTTAAATACAAGACTAAACGAGGGAAGATGACGAGACACACCTGAACCGAATGAACACAATCAAACAAGGGAGAAAACTAGGTCACGGAGCACATGGGGAGAAAAACACACACAAACAGTCCTGGGGTGTGACAGTTCGCCCCCCTCCCGGAAGGCGCATCCTCGCGCCACAGGAACAACAAAGGGAGGGACAGAGGGGAACTCAGGGGGAGATTGGGGTGGAGGACGAACACCCGGGAGGAGAATGGCAAACAGAGTCCAGGGTGGAGACAACGGAGGAAGGAGCCAGGCGGGACCCAGGCCACAGCCATGAAGGCGACCCACGGTGGAGCCGATGAAAGGAGGAGCCATGGTGGAGGAAGGGCTGACGATTCCAGGGGGCCGACCGATGGCAGCGGAGCAGGTGGAGGAGGAGCCCGAGGCAGAGACAGAGAGCCAATGAGCCAGGGTGACGGGAAGGATCCAGAGGGCCGAGGTGGAACAGATGGCTCCAGTGACCGAGGCGGGGATTCTGAAGGCCGCAGTGGAGCTGGAGCGACAGAGGATTGAGGAGGAGCCGAAGGGAATGAGGAGCCTGACAGAGCCAGAGGGATGAGGCGCAGCCGGAGGAGTGGAGTCCCAAGGCAACGAATGGTCGACGACAGACTAAGGCGGAGCCAGAGGGACGAGGGAGCCCGGTGGAGAGAAGGGAGCTAGGAGCCATGGTGGAGCCACTGGGTCGACAGGCCAAGGCGGAGTCTGGGACTCAGAGGCTGGAAGCAGAGGCCAGGGATTCTCCAGCCATGCCGACGATGGAGACTGGCAGACCTGCGGTGCTCGCACAGAACAGATGGTGGGCTGAGGGTGAGCAGAGGGGCTGCCAGACGACAGCGGCGGAGGAGGCAGGAGCGGCAGGGTGGGTGGTCATTTCTGAGCCTCCGGGCTCTCAGGGCTGGTGTGCGCTGCCCACACACACCAAATCACGACTCCCAGCAATGGTAGCGCATCAGACAGGGGAACGACAGGGCTCGCAGACAATTCAGGGCAGACTGATAAGTCCGAGGAAGGTGGGAGGAGAATGGGCATATCCGCATATATATCTGCCTCACAGTCTATTAAGTCCCCTCCAAAGTCCATCAGTCCCAGATTCACAATAAGCTCACCCTCAGCCATGGTGCAGTGGGCGGAGCTCCTCTCTGCGCTCTCGCTGTCTACGGCTTTTTCCCTCGTGGCAGGCATTGTAGCCGGCTCTCGCACCTGGTCTGACGTCATAAACCGCTCCGGCTCCGCGTTGATCCTCAGCTCTGTCGCTCCATGCGGCGGTCTCGGGCTCTCCGTCAGCGGTGGGCTCGGGCTTGAGCTCCGCCCAGCGGGGTGATGGTGGGCTGGGCTCTGAGTCTGAATGTGTTCTGGATCTGGACACTCTCCAGACACCAGATGATCCCTTCCCTCCAGCTCAGTCCAGTGGTGTCTGGGAGGTCGACGGGGCGGTGGTAGTTTGTCCCGATCCAGAACAGTGAGTTCAGCGCAGCATTGTCGAACGGCATTAAAACGGCGAGCTGGCTAAACTCAACTGCATACTCCACAAAGGGCAGGTCTTTACGGGCTAGGGAGGTGAACAAAGCGGCGAGGGGATCCATGGGGGAAAAACAGTAAACAAAACACTGAACAAAACGTGGAAACAAAATGGAGGGGAAACACGCGACTAAACCCTTTTTTTGTTTTTAATGGTCCGGTGTCTGTAGCATCGACGACACCGGACAAAGGAACAAAGGAACGGACAACACTTTAAATACAAGACTAAATGAGGGAAGATGACGAGAAACACCTGAACCGAATGAACACAATCAAACAAGGGAGAAAACTAGGTCACAGAGCACATGTGGATTAAAACTCACACAAACAGTCCTGGGGTGTGACAATAACCCTTCTAATTAAATTGTTATTACTGTGTTTCAGTAGTGACAAATTTGGGGAGAGAACAAATATTCCAAAACTTTCTGAAAATACAATATGATAATTAGCTGCAAAATTACTAGAAATGTGTACCTTGGATATTATACAATATGCATACATACAAAAAAATTTTCAAGATGTTTCCAACTCTGGCTTTGGACCAATTCTGTAGAATGGCCCATAAATCTTCCCCCGCTGGAAGAGACCAGACCTCCTGGAACTTTAATTGAATACCCCTGACTTGTATCATAAAGAAAGACTTTATTTGCATGGTTTTGTAATATCTGTCACATATTTCCTTATGTGCCATGGTAGATCTCTTATCATAGGTTTTAATCCATTACAATGTGCAAAACAGTTGTTCTGTAATCCAATTCTAAGTAACAGGCTGGATGTACATTAACCTTACTAAGCATATCATAGAAGAACATATGTGTTACGGGGCTGACGAGACATGAGATGTGCAGATCCAAATGCAAGGCTTTATTCATAGACATGGTAGAGACAGGCAAGGGTCAGATAATGGCAACGGGTATATAGAGGGCAAGACACAAGAATAATCCTAGGGCTAGCGTGGGTCTACGATCGGCGAACAGAATTAACAGGGCGAGACTAGAGGGGTAAATCCAAGTACAATGCAAAGGTCCAGGCAGGGGCAAACAGTATCTGAATAGGGCAAGACGAGAGGGGGAATCCGAGGTACACAGGCAAAGATCAGGATACGAGAAAACAGACAAGGCAAGACTAAGGTAAGGCTATGAAAACTAACGGGCTCCGTAGAGTAGCCATCGCTAGGTGAGTGATATATGCTAAACAATACTCGGCAGCTTGACGGGGATAAGAGTGAGTGTTATATAGGGAATGTGTGATTGATGACAGCTGTGTGCAATCAGTGCTGTGTGCAATCAACTGTGTGTGTGTAATCAGTGCAATGGATGATGGGAACTGTAGTCCAGGTGAAGTGCAACAGTGTTGTGGTGCAAGAGTCCATAGTAGTGGATGGGTGACCTCTGGTGGCGAGCAGACGGAAGTTCATGGACCGGATTCGTGACAATATGTTTTGTCTAGAGCTTCGTAATTAGGATGAGTTCAATTTATGAGGATTTTAAATGAGATTTTTTTAGCAAGCCATTAAATCACTCGAGACTTGACTCGGACTCCAGCGATAAAGACTTGTGAACATCGCTGTGTGGTTTCTCCACTGAATGCATCCTCGTGTGTAGCTTCAGGTGACTTTTAAAAGCGAAACTCTTCCCGCACTGATCACACGTGTGCGGTTTCTCTCTGCTGTGGATCCTCTCATGTGATTTCAGATCTCCTGACCGACTGAATGTCTTGTCACAGTGTGAACACTTGTGAGGTTTCTCTCCAGTGTGGATCCTCTGGTGCTGTTTTAAACGGTTTGCTGAAGTAAAAGTCTTGTCACACTCAAAGCACATGTACTCTCTCACACCAGTGTGAATCTTCTGATGCCGTGTTAAACAGTCCGCTGTAATAAAAGTCTTGTCACACTCAAAGCACATGTACTCTCTCACACCAGTGTGAATTTTCTCATGTCTATGTAATCTCCGCAGCAGTGAAAAACACTTTCCACATTCAGAACAGGAATGTGGCTTCTCCTGCGTATGAACCGTCAGGTGTGCCTTCAGAGCTGATGACCAAAGAAATGTTTTGCTGCACTGATCACACTTGAACGGCTTTTCTCCAGTGTGGATCCTCATGTGTTCTTTAAGTTTTGCTGATTGTGTGAAACTCTTCCCACACTGATTACACGTGCGCGGCTTCTCTCCGGTGTGAACTCTCATGTGTCGTTTACGGTTTGCTGATTGTGTGAAACTCTTCCCACACTGATTACATGTGTGCGGCTTCTCTCCGGTGTGATCTCTCATGTGTCGTTTAAGGTTTGCTGATTGCGTGAAGCTCTTTCCACATTGGCCACACGTGAACGGCTTCACTCCAGTGTGAACACTCATGTGACCCTCAAGACTAGCTTGGTTTGAGAATCTCTTTTCACACTGACCGCACATGAACGGCTTCTCTCCGGTGTGGGTCCTCATGTGATCATTAAGATTATGTTTGTATGTGAAACTCTTCCCGCACTGATCACATGTGTGTGGCTTCTCTCCAGTGTGGATCCTCATGTGTTCTCTAAGATGTGCTGGTTGCGTGAAGCTCTTTCCACATTGGTCACACGTGTGTGGCTTCTCTCCGGTGTGAACTCTTGTGTGATGCTCAAGACTTTGTTTGTATGTGAAACTCTTCCCGCACTGATCACATGTAAATGGCTTTTCTCCAGTGTGGATTTTCATGTGTACTTTAAGATGTGCTGATTGTGAGAAACTCTTCCCGCACTGTTTACATGTAAAAGGCTTTTCTCCAGTGTGGATTTTCATGTGTACTTTAAAATGTGCTGATTGTGAGAAACTCTTCCCGCACTGTTCACATGTAAATGGCTTCACTCCAGTGTGGATTTTCATGTGAATTTTAAGGTTTCCTCTTTCTTTGAATTGATTTCCGCACTGATCACATGTGAACGGTTTCTCTCCGGTGTGAACTCTCATGTGACGCTCAAGACTTTGCTTGTATGTGAAACTCTTCCCACACTGAGTGCAGGTGATAGATTTCTTGGCTTTTCTTTTCTTTAAAAATGTCTTTTTAGTCTTCGAGCGACTCAAAGGTTTTTCTCCAGGTTTGTCATGATGCTCCTCCTCCACTTCACTCAGTTCTTCTCTCTCCTCGCTCTCTTTCATCAGCTCTGAAATATAATTGATGTAATAGCAGAAAAAGTGATGATTGATGTAGTAGCAGAAACGAGACAGCTGCTGTAAAACATTATGATCATTCTGGTGGAATTTTATGAATTAATTGCATGAATGAGGTACATTGACATTTCAGTTATAGTTTTCAAAACATTTTAGGCACAAATTATAATTTTTTTGTAGTGAGAACTATCAATCATTTAATGTTAAGTTAACTTTTAATTTTTTTTAAGATTCATTTTTTTCAGTTTAACGCGTTAAAAATATTTAACGCAGGGGCGGTGCTAGGGTTGTCCACCCCACTCACAACTGCTGCTTCTGTCACTTTTTCTCTTGACAAGAAGTGCATTTATTCAGTCGCTGAACGACTGAGAACGGGAGATGTTTCAGACGCGCGCTCGCTCCACTTCACTTCAGCGCCAGGCGCGAGTCAAACGAGCCTGTATCCTTTCATATCAAAGCAAGAAATAAACTACATGCATGCAATGTCATGGTTAGTTAAGTCATGAAGTTACCAAAAGGCGATTAAATCTGCCTTAAAACTGTGCATGTATGTAATATATTTTATATGAGTCACATTCAAGAACATGTCTCTGAAATGGTTTTCAAAACTGTCCTAGAGCAGCCCAGCACTGTCTCACTATCTAACACACCCGATTCAACTCGTCAGCTCATTAATGGAGACTTTAAAGGGGTCATATGATGCGATTTCAATTTTTCCTTTCTCTTTGGAGTGTTACAAGCTCTTGGTGCATAAAGAAGATCTGTAAAGTTGCAAAGACTAAAGTCTCAAATCCAAAGAGATATTCTTTATAAAAGTTAAAGAGTCAGCCACGCTTACCTAAAACGGCTCATTCTAACACGCCCCCACATGTCTAGGTCACAATGTGGGAAAATTTGCATAACGCCGCTCAAATGTTCACACAAAGAAAGAAGGCGTAACTTTTATTCTCGCTGTAGTATTGTTGACGCTGTGTAGTATTGTCTCGCTGATGTCCTGAAGACGCTGTGTGCTTCGTTGTGAAAGTGAAACTACTTTGTTTGGTCTTCCAAAAGAGGACGATATCCGCTTCGTCATGCCTAGAGCTGATCTGTGCTGGTCGCTGAGGAAATACATCAACTTTCACCGTGGACAAAGCGGAGTCCAGCCCGCCTCAGCTCACTCTATTCCGGCCTCAGTGCACGGTAAGCCGGGACTTCCCCTCACGCTAGGCCGCTGTGTTTTTCGTTGCCACTGATGATTCAAACGCGAGTTTTGGGCAGTAGAGTAGCGCATTTGTTGTTTGTCATTTCTCCGATCACAAA